CCCCAGGTCTCTGGAGGCACCGCCTCTCTCAGAAGTGGCTCCTCATGCTCACACAGGCCAAGGTGGGGTCGGCATTCCTCTTCTGCAGCCTCTGAGGCTTCTGGCGTCAGACTGTGTGCTTCTCTACCTCCTCACTCCCTCTGCGATTCTGTGATTCCTCTTCAGGCTCCTCACACTGCAGATCCTTAGCCTCGGCCTCAAGGGAGTCAGGCCACAGGGGTCCCCACCAGGGACCGAGCAGGGCACCTCCTTGGTCCCTCACTGAGCTAGCTTTCACTGGCTGGGAGCTGCCTTGCTTTCTAACTGGGTTCTTGCCTTCTTCTAGCCTGAAATAATTTCATCTTCTCTCTCCAGCTCTTTTCTGGTTCATTCTTTCTACACTTGTGAAGAAAACTGGGCATAATATTTTCATCTGTTATTTTGTTTTCTTTACATCCATCTTTCCATTGATGGTCTAAAAACTGCAATGTAACAATCAGAAAAGCATGAACCTACAGTTAACTCAGAGCAAAAAGAGTATTAATGGTATGCCTTCCCTGGAAAGGGGTCAAGGAGTTCTAATTCTTGCACTCTGATCACATGCAATACAGGGCTACCTAAGTGGGCAGAAGCAACTTGAATATTCTAGAGGGTGACCCGGGGGGGGCAACACCAAATACTGATACCTAAATTCCACTGCTTACTGAGAATCTGTTCCCTGTAGAGGCGGAGGAATCTGGTGAAAGCTGATGAACTACTACAGTACTAGGCAATAACAGGCATTCAATAAATTGTAAATAAGTAACAAATGCTTGACATATAGAAGGTCCATAGTCCTAATGTCCATGGTTTGGTTTTGTGTGCATGGCCTGGAAACCTGGGTTCATTTTGGTAGATGCCTTTTGATCGTGTGAGTTTAAAATTCATGTGAGTTATAGAAACTACAGAGCAAATCTACCAATGCCATGGTGGGATGGGGTTTCAACACTGTAGAATTCTTTGTAAGTGATACAATGATCTGGTTACAAGCAATTGGGGAGTCTGTGCAGAAAACTTATGCCCCCATGTGAGATGAATCAGGTCTCCAAGGGCAACAGGTATTGAAAAACTATTTATTCAGTGGTGCATCAGATGAAATGATTCACCTTGCATGTGTGAGCAGATTTATTTCCAGGGGATGATTTCTTTACCATGGAGCATGTTTTTCCTTTTAAAAAATGTTCTTTGACTTTTAAAGCATGTATCTTTGTATTTCCATTGGCAGAGAGCTGAAGTGTGGCAGCGTCAGAAGATAAAATAGAATATTATTTTTACACTGTTTTGATTTATAGAGGCTGTGGTACTCATTAAAAATTGAGAGCGGGGGGGTGGGCAACCCAAAGTATAATTTATGAAGTGCTTAACGTTTGCTTAGTCAGATCTCTCTCATTGTCTGGGAACTCCAGGAACTTATGTGTCCAAAGGGGAGAGAATTTTATTTTTCCCAGAGCTACTTAATTTACTGAACTCAGTCTGGGACCAGTTTCTCCCAGGAAGAAGTATGAATATTCGATGTAGTGGGCCCCATCTTGTAGGCAACACACAGTAGTGCATGAGATTGTGAATTCGATTTTAAAAGTTGTATTTGGTAGAATTCCTGAAGCAAGAAGCTTTGGGAATGGCTTGTATCAAATCTGGAAATGAAAAGTTTGGAGGTGTCATGTTAAAGCAGGCAAAACAATGGACTGGATATTAAGAGATTCTCATTTTAGCCCCACTTTGATCATGAATGAGCTTAGTGACAGGAGGCAAGCCCTCAGTTTCCTTGTCTGTAAAATCAGACACAGAATTTCTCAAGCATTGGTTTTTTTAGAGAGGGTATTTTTTTTCTTTCAAACAAATGCTTAAGCCTAAGCCTAATATGCAGAATAGCTGAAGACAGAACCATTCCCTTGGAAACTGCAAGTGGGGAGCCTGGGGCTGTGGCCAGCAGTACTCCTGCCCCAGCCCCCACCATATCCCCAGAACCATGCCCTGACCACAGAGCAGCACTGCAAGTCGATGCAACATTTGAGAGAGATGATAAATGAAGTCTCTTGAGTTCCAGTTGTTTATGACTCAACATGGAAATCTGTCTTGCTTAATTGAACACCACCAGGAGCAAAGAGGAATTAAAACAAGGATGGATTAACACCTAAAGACTTGAAAAAAACTGGATTATTTTAATACAATGTCTGATGTTAGGATAGGGTTTGTGCAACATTTTGGAAATCAGCTTTAAGCTCGAATAAATTTTGGAAGCATTACTTTTCTATCTGCTTTCTGAGGCACCTCGCTTTTGTGAGCACATAACAGTCTCTTGTTTACATGTGTCATCACTTGTGTTAGTGTCTGAATGACCTCACTGATTCATAGTTTTGTGAGGTAACCCCATCTTTCAAAGGTTTCTTTCTCATAAAGAAGGAAGAGAGTTAACTCCCCAAGGAGGCAGGTCATTCTGTTTGAACTCAGAGTTAGAGGAACATTAGGTTTTGACAGTGGCAACCTTGAACCTCTAGCCAAGTGATCTTGACAAAACTGATCTTCCCTCCTGGTCAGAAACAGCTGGGTCCCACGTATAGAAGGAGGATGTGCAAATGTATAGACTGTTCATTTTATGGTCAAGACTCAGACATCACTGACTCATTAACAATGGTTCCATGTCCTAAATCACAGTCCTTTGCTTTCTCTTCTTGAAGTGGAGGACTAGGGGAAGAAAAGGGAGATAGAGAGAGATGGGTTTGGGGACAGAGAACAGATGAGCTTATAAGTCACTGTGAAGAAAGTCAAACTCCAGATTTTTTAAGGTAACTGTGGAAATAGTCAGTAGTTGTGTACTTACTCTCTGTACCATCCCTCAAAATAAATTCTAGTGGTAATTTTAGAGAGATAGGAATAAACTTTAAAATGGGAGAGGAGCTGACAATGAAATAGGAATGAAAAATGCAAATTGGGGGAAATTCTATATTGTTTATAAACCCCATAACTTGTGAGGTTGGAGTGAGGTACTTATCTTTACGTCTAGATATAGAAACTTATGTTTCTAGCACTCTATTTCCTTAAAAGGAGGTAAAATCAGCTACTTGACAACTGCTCCTATTTACGAATGACAGTTACTTCATATTTTGACTTCTAACTTTGTTTTTGTCCCTAAATTACATTTTGTAGTGTTTCTTTTTGTTCTGCTCTTTTGACCTAGCCTGGAAAATTTGAAGAACACTCCTTTCTGTTTTTTTTTTCCTAATAAGCCTTTTACAAGTTTTTTTTCTTAAACCCAAAGTACAAAAATAATGATATTTTAAAAATGCGTGTGTAAAGGGCATTTTCATTTGCAATTAAATAATAGTCACAATTTGAAAATCTATAGTTCAAGACAATTTAACTTGTTTTTTTAAATTAAGTTGTTTACATTAGAAATTACCTACCATTTATCACATACAGAAGATCTGTAAATTTATAGACTGTGCATTTTATAGCCTAGACTCAGGCCTCCATAACTCATTGTTAACAAACACAGTTCTTGACAACGATACTCAATTCTAGAACGAATGGAGCACTTATCCAATGCACCACATGTTTGGGGTCCAACTATGCTTCACTCTAGACGTGTGCAGAGTTAATGCAGCTTCCAAAAGCTGTTTTATTCTTGATCCTTGGCTTGTGTTCTGTGACAGTCTGATGCTTGAGCTCATGTTGAATGTTTTTAATGTGCACTTTTATTGTACTTAATGTGCACTTTAAGAATCAATAAAAGCAATTCTCCTTAAATAAGTTTAGTAGTAAATGAATTAAGCACAACAAAACTTCAGTACTCTATCTGGCATAATTTATATTTTAATCCTGAAGCAATTCAGAAATAAGTTTTGGCAGTAAATAAAATCAGATACTGATTACTGGAACAAGTGAGAAACAGAAATGTGCTCCTCCGCACTGTGTGTAACAATATATTTGTGAAGTCGTATATGGAATTTAGAATAAAATAGCTTTCCTTTCTAAGAGAATTTCTTGCACCATATTCACAAGCTGATCTTCTTAAAAAATATACATTATTTCAAGCCAGATCCTCTTTAAATAAAGAGATTTTATTTTCCCAATATAAAATATTCCATAGCCTGGTGAGCTAACTCTCACTAAATGCACCCTATATGTCAGGCATTGTTTCCAGCTCATACGTGTTTTATTTCATTCAATGTTTAAACAACCTTATGAGGCAGGGGTTCATATTACTGTCATTTGACAGATAAGAAATCTGAGGACAGTATGTAACTTGCTGAAAGTCAAACAGATAGTGACAGATGAGGACAAGAATTGAACGCAGGCAGTCTGACTTCAGAACCATCATATCAAGTCATTACACTGCACTTCATAGGTTAAGACAAGAGCTAGATGATCTCTTTATGACTGATACAGAAAAAAAATTCAACAGTTTTACTGAAATATCCCCCTCCTTTAGAACTCTAGTTCCTCCATCTGAAATAGTTAAGGCTTAAAAATGAAAGAAAAGGAATCATATATGATTTTCCCTAACAAAGAATTATCATCTGGGAAGCAGTTTTGGTATTTATACAAATACTTCAAACCTTCCAAATTACTACAATGTGCAGTGGTTTTCTGGAAATGAAGTTTTCAAGAGGGGTCAGAACTTGTTCAACACAAGGCTAAATACCTTTTATTTTCTATTTTGGCCACAGTAAGAGGACATTATGCCACCATTTCATCATAACCTTGATCATACACAGGTGATGTCCTCACCCAGCCCAGGTGTGTGCACAGGTGAAGCCCTCACCAGCCCAGGTGAAGCCCTCACCAGCCCAGGTGTGTCACAGGTGATGCCTTCACCCAGCCCAGGTGTTTCACAGGTGACGCCCTCACCAGCCCAGGTGTGTACACAGGTGATGCCCTCACCCAGCCCAGGTGTGTGTACAGGTGACACCCTCATCCAGCCCTGGTGTGCACAGGTAGTGCCCTCATCAGCCCAGGTGTGCACAAGTAGTCTCACGTACCAGGAGCAGCTGCAACAGCAGCACCAGCAGAAGCAGCAGGTGTTGTTGGGCCGCTGCTGTCCAGGCGCCTGGGCCACGGCAGGTGCCCCCTCACTTTGCAGCTGCTGTCGTTTCCGCATCTCAGCTCCTGGGGGCCCAGCTGTTCTGAGAGAAGAGAGAGGAAGTATGTAAAGTAGGAGAGAATTACAGTGAGGATGAGTGCCTATGCTGAAGGAGGCGTAATTTAAAACTTATGTAGGGGCAATAACTGAAGAAAAGGTAAAAATGAGTAAGCTTCAGTAGTCACTAAATGTTTTAGACGAATAACTTAATAACTCTGGGGACAACCTTTTATTACCTGTTGCATTAAATTATAGTAATAATCTTGCCACATAGTCAAAACCAGTTGGTAAGGTGAATATGATAAGGTCTGAAAAATTAATTCCAACTTCCTTCTTTACTCAGGAATGATTTCATCAGCTTGCCCTTGTGTACAGCTTTAAATGACGACAGCGGTGCGGGGAACTGGCTTCTCCACTGATGTTTGCAGTAAGGTTAATTGAGCTTTACAAATCAGTGCTGCGTTGCTGGTTTCTAACTATATAACACTGTGAGGAAGATCGAGTTTGTTTTTGGTGTTCTCTCACCTTGTTTGAAAACACTTCATCTCCTTTCTGGCACTTCTGACTCACCTCCAGGGGCCTAATCGTGGTAACATTGGCAAAATGCCTTCCTCTCAGCAAGGTGTCCATGCTGTATCACCTCTCTTTCTCCCACCACTCAAAATTTATTTTCATTTAGTAGAGAATTGTGGAAAGATAAAAAGTCATCAAAATCAGGGAAATTACTTTGGTGGAATGTATATATTATGGCAGATGAGAGAAATATTGGGGTATGGGATACCCTACCTGTGACCTTATAAATCAAGTCAAATGAGTTGCCATCTATTTATAAGACCAATTCTGATCTAGGACTTTGTTGAGGTTAAAAAATGAAGGTTTTTTTAGTAGAATAATATCATATGTAGCATGGCCTCTTAGAAAAAGGAAGAAATTCTACTGAATGATGGTTTTTACAAGTATATAATGCATGTACATCATATGTAGATATTGTCATATGTGTAACACAGCAATACTTTTTACAAATATAATATACTTTGGATTACTTTGGTACTGTGAGCACAATCATGTTTTCAAAGTTATATTTTTAAGGACTGATATTTTTAAGTTGGAGAATAAAATATGTAGTAAAAATTTTTTCCTGTGTTCATATAAAGGATGTAGCTTAAAAAATTTCATACTCTTGCTACTATAGTCTTGTAGCATTTCCAATTATGAAGTTGTTAGGTATATAATCATCTCAACGAATATCAGGTGGTTTTAAGGCCCTAGAATACAATGGTCTGTGAGCATCACTGATCCAGGAGTCATTGCCTAAATATTTTAGTGTGCTTGATCTTGATTTTTATTTTTTAATTTCCAAATTGCAAGTGTTCCCTGTATGGAGCAAATTCTTTATAAAAATGTTTATTGTAAAGTAATATATTTTGTCTACAATGGAATTATCCACTTTCTAATTGGGATTTTACATCAGGATTTTTAGTCATTCTGAAAAATTTTTATTAAATAGAAATATTTATTGAGTGCCTACTGTATGCATGAATTACTCGAGTTATATTTTGAATGACAGCATGTTGTAAGAAAAAAGGTGCACTAAATGACATTAGATCATAAAAGATATTTTCAGTTCTGAATATAATGATAAATACTTTTAAAAAATACTGCAGTCTTGAAAACAAGACAAACATCTCTTTAGACCAAAAACAGACTAAAAAATCACAATGGTTGCTAGATGGCTAAAATCACAGTCATTTGTAATTCAAGAATGGAAACAAAAAGGTGCAAGGGTCCCATACTCTAGGGATACTGCACTCGGAGCAGTGGGAGACTAGATTCCAGGTTTCCTGCATAAAATCAGGGGCCAGAGTCCCACAACACATAAAGAGATACTGAAAGAACTACCTGTACCCTTCAGTGGTACCTAGCTGAGAGGAGACAGGTTCAGGAGAAGTCATCTAGACCCAACCTAGGCCAAGCCACCCACAGGTTCAGTGACTGGTCAATCCAAAATTGTTACTGGATAGGAGGAAATCCAGAAATGCTGATGGAAGAGCTATTTTGGGATTGAGGGTCTTGAGGGACTAGTGGGAACAGGTGAAAAAAATTACATTGCAGAGCATATAAGTGAGAGTGAGAAATACACCTCTCATTCAATGTGTTGCCTGAAAGCAAAAAGTCCAAATAACACTAAAAAACAGACAGCCAACCCAACAATCAGGAGATAAATACAGTCCTGATCAAATGCAAAAAATCACCAAAAATCAGTTTATAAGCATATTGTAAGATAAAAATATATGGAAAAAAGATGTTCCCTATCATAGAGAGAAAGAAATAATAAAAACAAATAGGCAAACATGGAACAAGAATAGACAGAATGAACAACAGAAATGTGAAACACATAGACATTAAAGTGATTCAGATGGAATAATCTCTTCCCTAAGCAACCCCAAGGAGAATGACTGATGGTGCCAAGGAATGTACTCAGAATTCAGCAAAAAGAGATAAAAAGATGAAACATTCAAGGAGTATTAAATGAAGATAGCAGTAACATTGAGAGGCTCCAATATGTGTCCAAGAAAATTTTACCATGAAGAGAGAGTTAACAGATATTCAGAAAAGTTGACTGAGAATTTTCCAGAAGAGAAAGAAAACAAAACAGTACAAACCTTCACATTCAAAGAGCACATCACATGCTGAGCAAGATCAATAAAATAAAAATTACAGTAAATCCACACTTATGCACAATATAATAAAACCATAGAGCTCCAAATAAGGGAAAAAGCTGAATTACCCACAGAGGAGTTACATGTACTGATGTAGATTTTTCCTGAGCAGTTAGATACTAGAAGACAATGTACAAGAGAGTATTGTTTTCCAAGTGCTGAGGGAGAAAAACTATCACCCTATATATTTAGCTAAACAAAAATTCAAGAGTGAAGATTATTTCTGATATAAAAACAAAGCTTATTATTCAAATCCTTGGTGTAATTTACTTCAGTCAGAACAAAAGAAAATCAGGGAGAAGGAGTGGAATATAAGAAGCAAGATGTACATATACACAATAGAATATTACTCAGTCATAAAAAAAGAATGAAATCTTGCCATTTGCAACAACATGGATGGACCTGAGAGTATTATGCTAAGTGAAATTAGTTGGAGAAAGACAAATATCATATAACTGCATTTATATGTGAATTCTAAGAACAAAACAAACTAAGAAACAAACAAAACTGAAATAGACTCATATACACAGAGAACAGCCTAGTTGGCTGTCATAGGGGAGGGGTGGGGAGATGGGTGAAATAGGTGGAGGGGAAAATAAAATGAGTGTGAATGTTTGATATCTTGGTCTGAGGGATGGTAACATGAGCGTATACACATGTCAAGATTGATCAAGCTGTACACTAAGAAAAAAAAGAAAGTACTGAAATTGGTAAAACATGATGCTGAACTTAATTAATGACTAGCTAAATAAAACCCCATGTTTCTCTGCTTAGAACTAGTCTAGAAATAAACTTAAGACTACATAAATTAGTAAAATGCAAGGGTTACCTTACTCCTCCACTGACACTATTTTTATAAGCATCACAACATCACCCTGTTTTAATCTAAGAGTTATTTTACAACAGTCTTGGCCTGTCAGCAGCATTTGCACAGTGATCACTCCATCCTCTCTGAAACACTTTCTCTTCATGCCTCCCCGGGCATGACACCCCCCTGTTGGCTTTCTATCTCACTAGCTATGTCTTATCTTCTCACACTCTATTTTGTTGTTTCCTTTTCACCTCCAAATTTTCAATGGCCACAATACCCTCTCCTTAGAATTCTCAATCATTTCTTTGATGACTCACTGAGACCTCTACTGAACCTACCTGTTTTCTGTTGAGAATTCTCAAGGTACACATCCAATAGAGGTGACTTTCCTAAATTCACGACTCATTTATCCCACTACCTACTTGACATTGCCAATGCGCATCTCAAACATAACACATTCTCATCTGACCCTCTTATTCCCACCCCCAAAACCTGTTTTTCCCAGTTCTCCCACTTTCAGTAAATGAAAAGCTTCATCTTTCCAAGTGCTCAGACCAAGAACATTTTGGAGTCACCCTCCACTTCTCTACTTCAATCAGATCCCATTTCAGCAGATCAGCAAATGTGAGACCTCTTAACTGGTCTCTTCTTCTGTTTCTACCACTTTCCACCTGGTCCCCTTCCTATTCTGTTCATTCTATTCTTAGCACAACAGCCTCAGTTGAGTCTTTTAGAATGTAAGTAGATGATTTCAGAAAAGATTCTTCCACCCACATCCACTCAAAATCTTCCAGCAGCTTCCTATTTTACACAGGGTAACAGCCAATGTTCTTGCAGGCTAGTCCTTTATTGCTTGTCTGAATGCACCTTCTTTTCTCTCCCCCTCACTCTTCCTTCTGGGAAAAAAAAAGTTTCTACTCACTGATTTCACTTGGATTTGTCCCTATACCATTTGGAGCAGGCTGCCTCTCCATTTTGCTGACTGATCTGTATGTATCTCTGAATACCAGAAGTTCATCATCTCAACTGTGTTTGGGGTCTAAATTTCTCCTGGGCTGCCTGGCATACAACCATATATAAGAAAAAAAGTTTATCATGTTTTGCTACCTAGGTGAATTACCCCACGAATTAGACACGCATAGCTGGGGGAAGAAAAACTATCAAGAGACCTACTTAGTGACAGTGCTGAGGAAGTGCCTTCCTCAATCTGTCTGTGGGTGAGTAAGCATGAATAGCAGCATGCCCTTGGGTACTGGGTGATCACATCCTGGAACCCTTACTCTCATCAGCTTCCTGTGTGCCACTGTAAACAGCGGGTGCTGAAGGTAATTTGCTGGGATTTATTTGTAAATACAGAAGGGAACATCTGTATATGTGTTATATTTTCCTTTCTAGAGTTCACTGATTCTGGTTTTAAGCAAAACACATTCTCAATGTCACAAAGAAAAAAAGAGAAATAAGTTTCACAAAATGATGCATAACTGAGGACTGAAACTCTCAAACACTT